TTACACATTCATCAGAATCCATGAAACCTACCAACGCTGCAAATATGCTCTGTCTGGGCTTTGGTGTTGACTAAGCGCAGTGCAAATACAGGTGGGTGCAATAGCTAGAAACAAGACCCTGGGTATAAAAAGAAGAGGGGTGGGAGAGAAGGAGAAGAAGAGAGAGAGAAGGAACGAACAAGATGATGGAAGAGATACCCTTTTAATTCACTGACAGAAAAGACAATCTCCAGATGAGATTATTTTTCTGGATACATCTACGAGAAGAAATTCAATTAGTCAACCAAAACTGTGCATGTATTATAGCATGATAATGAAGTATTACGTATCAAATACATAAAAGTCAGAAGCAGCCATGCTGTATTTCCTTCAGATAGTGGGTTACCTTTTTTCCGAACGTGCTGGATGCTTACTAGCCCCATACTAACAGCATCTATGTACATCTCCTCTTTGGAAATGCGTTATTTGAAGTGGAGGTAAGTGCTCAGTTTCATGAAGCTTTTCACTTCCAGCAACATATCTGAGTGCTGAGGAGCTGATCCTCGGCTGTGGGTTAAGCTGGATTCAGACTAGCAGGGAGATTGCAAATATCAAGGAAGACTTCTATCATGTCCTAAACCAGCCCTAATTGTGCAGTTAGATGAAACTGTACTTCCTGGCTGGGGTTGTGGCACCGGGAGGTTTTGCCTTCTTCCCCTGCTGTGTCTCCTGGGGCTGCAGGAGCTGTCACTGTGCAGGACCTTGGTGTCCCCTTGTCCCAAAGGTGGTGATGGACTGCAGGCACAAACCAAACAGCCTCAGTGGGACTGCGGCCTGCAGACCTGTTGCTTTTAGCCTTCCTCGGGAGAGCTCTTAGAAAAGATGCCTTTGAGAAAAGGGTTTTTGACCTGTTTCAATGCAGTAATGGATTGCTGAGGAGCAGCAATACCAGGGAGCATGAATGCAATTTTCTTTTGCGTGATTTAGCCGAAGATCGGCAACGTGCTTCAGTGACTAGGAGCATCACTGATTAAAATGGCTTGACTGTTGATGCCATATTTCAGTGGTGTCTTGCAGTGTTGGTAGCTCAAAACTATCTTTCTAACTTAAGTTGAAACTCTGAGAAGACTGTAGGAATTCAAATATCACTCCCTGCAACCTACACAGAACTTGCGGCATGAGCAGTGAAAGCAGACTGAGATATAAACTAAGAAAATGCATATTAGCTTTTCTTTCATGCTTTTTTATCCAGCTGAAGGAACTATACAACTTTAAATGCTACTGCATCTTACTTTTAGGTGAATATTAGCTGATGGTAATAGATTAGGTGTCAGATGTCTTGTCACTGCCAGGTAGATGCCCTCACATGTTATTGACAGTATTTTAAATAATGGCACTTGTTTCAAATCAAAAAATGTGGAGTTGTATCTATTTTTAACCCCAGCTTCTGAAACTTGTTATTTGTAGCAATTAGTACTGGGAAGGCTTTGAAATAAATACTGTTTTTCTTCACGGATGATCTCTAGGTAGTGACGATTGTGGGTTGTTTTCAGTTATTATCGTCAGACCAGAGGAGCTGAAAGTTCAGCCCTCTGCTAATTGTGTGGTGTGTGGGTGTTTTGTTTCAGTTTTTTTATTCTTTAGAAACTGAAGATGAAAATCTCCCTATATAGACATAGGCGTCACGTCTCCAGGGCCAATGGCACTTCAACCAGCGGAGGCTGTTGAGGTTATTTTCTAGGCTGTCTCCTTGCTGCTGGACAGGCTGGTATCACCTCAAAATGCCCTTTTCCGACAGTGCGTGTTAGCAGAGCCCTTGGTTTGGTTTGCGTTCTTCTTTTGAGACAAGGTTGGCTGCCAAGTAGTTATTTTGGTTGGGGCACTAATTCTGAAGTTTCAGCCATGTCAAACTAATTCCTGTCCAATTTGGTAGATCACGTAATGTCTTCCCCGCTGTCGCAGAAGGCCAGCATGGGGAAGGGAGTGCTGGACATGTGGATCGGGGAGCTGGGAGATGCCCCTGCTGCCTTTGCTTTGGTCAGGCTTACAGCCAAGGTGGTTGTTCGGTTTTATTTGCCTGGTGTCAAGTCTTACTGGCGTTGTTGTTAACTGCGCAGGAAATTAAAGCTGTATGAAACCACAAATAGTGGATCTGGAGATCATGGATGCTAGCGCCCGGAGAATGAGGCAGTGGTCCTGCGGGCTGCCCCTCGTGCGCCCGGGCAGCGGGAGGGGAGAGGGGCGATGGGTAGGATTTAGCAGCAGGTCGCACCAGAGCGGGTTGATCCACTTTCCTACTTACGTGTTAAGAAAGGTTTGAAAAGAAACATGGTTGACAGGAAAGCTTTTATTTAAAATAAATAAATAAATAAAGCTGCTTGGTAATGTGTTGCTTTTCACTCCTGCTGTTTAGATTGGAGGAATCAATTTGTATGATTTTTCGTAGAAATGCTTTGATTAAAATGTAGATCTTGTAAAGCAAGACTATGCTAAGCAAGTCAATGCTAAGAGTGAGGTTTTTTTTATGTATTAGCACAGCAAGTTGGAACGCTATTGCCCAGTTCAGGACTCAGAAGAAAACAGTGAAATATTGCTGGAGTCAGAGGGCTCCTTGTTCCCATTAAACATTTTGTTAGGACAATATTCGTTTGAATCTTTCTCTTCTTGCTGTCGTTTGGTAAAAAAACGCTCTTCCAATGATTAATATTCACGTGCTGGAAGAGTAATTTAGATAGGTAATATATACAGAAGTGTAGCTGTTTAATCTTACCTGTAATAATTCAAACTGAGATGGACGCAACTGCAAATAGGTGCCTGGCTTTGCTGTTGGCAGTGTGCTGGCGCGGTGGCTGGGGACCCGGCCCAGAGGAGCAGTGTTTCGTGTGGTTTTTTTTTTTTTGTTCTTTTTGTTTTAGGCTGAGGCCTCGTGTGGGCTGCCGGCAGCGGCGGGGGGGGGGAACTGCTTATGGGAAAGGACAGCTGTGAAGCAGCCCCCCGTGCGTGGTACTCCGGAGACCTGCGCTGGCGCTCGTGCTCAGAGGTGAGCAGGATGTCTAACAAAAACAGAGTGATAACACTTGAATATTTGGCGATTTTTGTTTTGTTTTTGTTCTGTTTTAAAAAGCTGCTTCTGTCTTTTTCCATGCTTGTGCTGATGAGCAGTGTGGGGTAGGATGGCAGGAGGATAAGCTGTGAAGAGGGCAAAATGATAAGATTTTATGGCTGTAAAAGCGTGCTGCAGTGGGCAGATGCGCGCTGACCATGGTGACCATGTCCTGTATGTGGTGATGCTCCATGCTGGCAAGTCATGGGAGTAATGCAGGGGCCCGCATCAGTCCGCCTCCGTTAGCGGCGGGCATTATGCACACTGTTTTGAGAAATGACCGCATGTTTATTTTCGTAGTTATTGGATTTTGTGTGTGAGACTTATTACTGCTGTATCCCCAACTCTCCTGCCTTGCTGTGGAAACCTTCCAGAAAAGAGTTAAGAGCAGTTTCTGAACAAGCTCCTCCAAACGAGCCATGTGCAAAATAGCTCAGCCCCAGAGGGAACTGCTGTAACTATTCAAAATAATTCAGTAATCAAATTACTGCCCTGGCCCCTGAATTGCAGGGCTCATTCCGAAGTGGCACTTCAAGTCCCTGAGGTAAGGAAAGGTTGCAGCAGCTTTGTTTTGTCAAAATCTGTCGAAATTTCTGGCTAAACTTCACACCTTCTGGCTGCCTGTGCACAGGCAGCGTTGGGCAGGGCTAATGCCGGTCCCGTGATTGCCAGCTGTGCTCCGGCCATGGCATGCCGAAATCGGGCACGAGTCAGCTTGTCTGGTGATATATAAGCTCAAGCTTCCTGAAAGGTGGCCTCAAAAGGACAACCTTTCCATTGCCACAGTAACATGGAAGCCAATAGTAAAGACTGTACAGGAAGCCCATAGTCCAGATTTTGTTGTCATGACCCTGTGAGGACTATCTGCTCCAGCCCCGAGGTGTCAACAGAAAGAGAGAAAACGTTGTTAGTTAGCATTTCAAGGTAACAATATTTCTATTTATATTGATGGTGTGAGCTGAAGCCAAGCAGGACTGATTGCTTACCTGTGAAGTACAGCAGAAAATTTAACTTAAAGGGGATTTGGGAGAATGTCGGGGGTGGGGTGAAGGGATGGCTTCTGTTTTAGCTACACAATTTTCTGAAAATTAATACACGTGCACTCCATATTTCATAATCTTTTCTCTGTTTTTCATGTCTCCTACTTGTGGAAATGGATAAACAGAAACTTGTTTGTTATCTGTGTTAAGCCAAAAGGACTTCCTAGAGGGAATTAATGCTAAGAGTTAACTAATTGTGGAAACCCAGCAGGACTTCAGGCAATCTAGGATGGGTTTTATCAGGCATGGTGTAAACTTGGCCATTTCACTCTCCCATGGTTTCATAGAGGGTCGGGATTTACTTGAACTCAAAGCTGAATCAGGAGAGCTGGATTTGCCCCCAAACCAGGGAACAAGCAGCATGCTAAAGCACAGGGGAGATGGGAAGCATGGGAAAGGCTTGCCCAAAACCCATCAGGTAATGGGACTATCCAATCATGATCCCACTGTGTGCAGTGGGGCAAACTGCAGCTCCGCAGCACAAATGTAAATGTCAAAAACTGATGGAAGAGATGGGAGCCCCAAAAGGTGAGTTTGGAAAGCAAAGAAATAGCATATTGCAATAAGTGGTCCTCATATTGGGTATTAAAACGCTTCTCTCTCAGCTCAGCACTAAAAAAGCAAGTGATGAAGTGAATTGGACAGAGCAAACGCGTGTTCAGCTGCTGGTCACCAACAGCAGGCCCCGGCGTGGCGGCCAGGCACCGGCGGGCCACCAGCTTCCTGCGGCGTTTGCTGTTAATGAGCATATAGTGGGATAGACAAAAAACGAATATTGGGTCTCCAGTACATAACGTATCCAAGGAAGGCAGTGATACGAACACACAAAATTGGCGTCAAGGAATGAAACTCGTTTATGGCTATGTGCGTTTCAGGGGGTTTGTGCTTTTGCTCTGCTAATGAAATAGAATAGAGATGATTTATTAGGGAGTCCAAAAATGCCATTAGCATGCTACATCTGAAACGCAGATCCTAATCTTATTTACCATTGTCCTATGTGAGAAATTTTAATTACTCTCTATGGTTTAAAGGAAAGATACCCCCAGGAAAACCAGGAATAATGCTGCAGTAAACTGACTTTCTCAAACATAAGCTTTCAGCAGTAACACCAGAGAGAACGTGGAAATGTGTGAGCAACATTCGTTTTTTACTACATTACCTTGTGGAAGCAGTATACAAGAGCTATTAATATTTTATTACCAAGATCTGTGACTGTGTTTGCAGTTGACTGCTCGGGGTGTATGGTAAGAATTAAGTTGGCTAACAGGCGTTTCCTGAGCATAGCTCTGGCTTCTTTGTTTGTTTGTTTTTATCACCAATTATTAAGCTGTATGAACCCAGCCGAGGGTTGTTGCAAGGCAGAGTTTTTCTTCTCACCCTCTGTGTTTTTTACACACGTGTTGCATGCGGTGGCATGCTCAGACCAGAGCAAGCCGCAACCAAGTGATGGCCACCTCCTCCCTGGCGGCTCTGCTGGTGCTGAGAGACTTGACTTTTTTTTCCCACAGTGGCTTCACTTTTTTTGCACCAATACTTTATAGGTCTGATCCAGCAGAAAGTTCTCTGTAACAAAAATGACAGATCCCAGTCTGCAGCATATCACCCAGCTGATATGGTAACTTTAGCTTCTCCCTGGTGAGTCCCAGAGGCAGTGAGCGTCTGGACGGAGACGCTGGGGCCTGGCGCCCCATTGAGCTCACGCTTTCCTGTTTTGCAGTGCCTACAGAGTGGCCCAATTTGCAAAACTTTATTGTTAATTGAGTGCATCAAATGCACGTTGTCATTCTTACTGCATTAATAATTTACACCATTTGGAGCATCTTCTAAGTCTTGTTCCAAAAATTCCCCAAAACAAACCTCTTAATTTCCACTTCTGCTATCTTTCTATCTCTATAGGGGAAAAACCACAGTAATTTTCTTCAGCATTCAAGCTCAAGCCCTTGGGATGCAGGGTTAGCTTCTTTGGCTCTATATCACTGCTTTTCCAAGGATGAGAATATTAGATGTCTTGTTTGAAAAACAACAGCACTTAATTTCAGATAGCGTTAACTTTTGCCCCTTGTTTACTTGAGACTGTTGAAGCTGCTTTTGATGTGGAAGCCCTAGTAGCAAAGCAATCCTGTTCTCCTAAGGTTTGGACTGTGCTGAAGCAGAGGCTTCATGGCCCATACATAACGAGTTATTCTGGCAATAATAAACTCGCAGCGTGTCCTGGGGGTGCATTGCTCCTATTGCACCTCACAGCAATGAAGCTGACCAGGAAAGTTTCTTCCAATAGCCCAGCCGAGCAGGGCAGTGCACACAAAATGCAATCTGAATGACTGGGAAAACATTATAAAATGATGAAAGGGCAAAATGGCTGGGTGTAGAAGTAATGGTCACCAAGCCTCTGAGCATGCGGGGCAGTGCGGGACCGTTGCTTCCCTATTAAACCTGGGAATGCTGAAAAAGTGTCCAGGCAGGTGATTATTCCTGGGGCTCCCTGCAGCCAGAAGCTCATTGAGATGAGGTGGTCGAGAGCACATGGGTCTTCTATAGCCCTTTTTTCTGAGTATGTGTAACGTTCCCCAAAATGAACCTTAGCAGGATAACGTGATCATAGTCCTCTGAGCTCAGAGGTGTTGCTCTCCTCGCTCCTCCCCAGTTGGATAAGAGTTCATCCTGAGTAGTCAGAGACAGCCCGATGTGGAGAAAGCGCCTATCACAAGGTCAGACATGGTGTTAAGGGAACCTGATTCTGCACTTCAGTCACATAAATTGCTGGTGCCTGGACCAGCTGGGCAGAGAGGGAGTCCCCACATGTGCGAGGATGTCCGCAGGCCTCGGCTTTCCTCTGCCTTTAAACCTGCTGCCTTGCTTATGGACTCACTGAAGGGTGGAAAGAAAAGTCAGGGTTTGGGAAAAGAGACAGCAGCAACCACTTGTGTCCCATTCGAACTTGTAAGGGAATGGAGGCCCAAATCCACAAGGGATTTCAGTGGCGTTAGCCACCAATGGATATCCTGGGGCCCAGGAGCGCTGCGCCTCTCTTTCCCAGCTCTAAACATGGTAGCAACGTTGCCTTGTTTCCTCACCTCACAGGGGTGCAGAGGGGACATGAGCGTTAGGAGTGGTAATGTGCTTGTGGCTTCTCTCTTCTGCCACTGCCATACTTGGTGGGTTTTTGGACCTCTCTAGAAGTAACCTGGAGTGTCCAGGGCAGTTTGGCCACTGGGGAGGCAAGTGTCCATCTCTGCTTCTCTGAGGTGTCGTTTTTTCTCCCTGCTGCGGTGGTGTATTTTGTGAGTGAGTTACCAAAATATCCTGGAGCCTACCCACAGCTTCAGCATGAAATGGATTGTTTTCATCAGTTTTCCTTTCCATCCCACTGCGTCTACTCCCCCATGATTTAGCAAAGCAGGGATGCACCTTCCCCCCCCCCCCCCCCCCCAATAACGCAGCAGGTCTTGAGAATGTAGAGCTAATTTGTCTGAGTGACAATATGAAAACTGGATTGAATTATAAAAACATAGTTTTGTCTATGCAAATGTGTATTTTGCTCTTTTTCTCATCCAAATTAGTATACACAGCTTGTGTAAATGACCTGCAGCGTAAAGTGAAAGTGAGTGTTGGTTATTTTAAGTATGGAATAACTCATTTTTAACTTGATACTCGTGCTTCAAATTGCGTGCAATTTGAGGGCTGATCAGCTAGTTACATTTTTTTTTATTTAGACTGTAAATGAAACACAATTTTCGGATATTAACTCCTTTAAAAGCAATTCTCAGAATTTTATATTTTTAAAGCATGCCAGAAAATTTCTTCTGAAAACAGA